TGAAATGAAGGCCTCTACGCAAAGCGCTTTACGAGAATGCTTTGATTTATTTTCAGTCGACTGCAGCGTCTATCATACGGACGCTGCAGATCAAGCGTGCGTGGCGCCTCGTCACGTGTGACTCTATACTCTGGTTTCCCGGCGTTAATTACTCGCTTACAGCGCTCGTTACAACGTTTTCCTCGCGTCAACGACGTTGATTGTCTTTCTTTTGCGCGCAAGCAGCTTGTCGTGACGTACGCTTTCGCGAAACTAACAACTCATACCTCTTCTTGAAAAAGAAAGCTCTTACCTATATATTCAAAACCAAGAATTGATTTTCCATAAATCACAATTAGCAGAAGGAAGAGATCCAAAATTATTTGTTACTTTTAAGTTATGGCTTACGCTCGCGTTAGGCGCGTTGAACGCGTCCGCGTACAAAAGCGACACTGCATTTCATTTTTTTGAGCCAACGACCAATCAATCGTCGAAAATGTCGGCTTTGCAGTCGCTATTCTTCTCACCGAATGAATGCGACTTCGAATGACGAGTTCAACGATCGATTCGAATAATCGCGCGTCACGTAACATATCCCATTAACTTTCGACAATACGCCGCAGTTGGAAAACGCGGGTTTCTCTCCCACTTCCCTTCCGTTCCCCCCTCCCCCCACCGCTCTCGCATTTCGCCCGAGCATCCTGAAATGCAAATCGCATGGTGCGGCGCAATATGCTAATGCAACCATCGTGGTATCCGACAACATTTGTCTAACCGAGCGTTAAGATCCTGCCGGGGCACTCGCCGGCTCCTTGTTTCACGCGTGAACGACCCTTAACCCGGCGCAACGAAAGCCTGAACCAACACGGGGGAGGGCTGTTTTCGCACTACGGCTATGAGGATATCCGTATTGGGTCGGAGAACGTAAGCCAGATTGATGTACCGCGTGCGAGAGAGATTTATCGAAACGATATTTATCGGTGACGACGTCTGACGGATTTTTCAATAAATAATGGTAGCGAACGGCGATTTAAAACGCGCTTTATTTTCGGTGTCCAGGTGCCAGGCAATCGCGCCTTTTGTTCTTCTGTAGCCTATCATCTAGATTTTCTGAAAATTGAGACAGTCCCTTTCCCAAAAAGTTTCTTAAATTTCATTCAATTCTGAAGTGATTTTAGTATTACAAAACGTGAAATTTCAAATATCCCTCTTTTTATTCTACACCTATATTTTATTCACATGTCGAAAAGATTGGAAATGTCGATTAGACTCAGGTATATCTCGTGGATTAATTCTGCAAAAGCTTAAAACTACGATGAAGTATGAAAAAATATACGTCTCATATTTTAAGCTTCCCTACATGTCTGAGGCTCATCAAGAGCAGGGACCGTTGCCAACGTTTCCTTGTCACGAACTTCGAGGCAGTTTGCCTGGCGGAAGCAATCTCTTACTGACACACTGCACGCTCGCACATTTGTTTACGCGAATCAAGACGCGAAAGGAAGACGGATAAATAACGAGCACTTTTGCAGAATGAATGTCCTGGTGCTGTTGCGTATTTCGTGATCGATTCAGAACGATTAGCAGTTTAACACCAACTAATCATGAAAATTTCAATAATCTCAACTTTTGTCGCAAATCATTACCATGGCAATAATGACTGCAGATTTGATGAATGTCTGAAATACATCGAGAAAAAAATTGATATTAATTAAATTAATTAATTATTTAAGTCTAAATACCAATCTGTATTGAACGTTCATAAGAAGAAATGTTCTCCAGTGCAGCCACAACAGTTGTACTTTAACCACCCTAATTAGCGCCCCCCTCGCATTACGCCCGGGGGTGCCGTAGGTCTGTCTCCTTCTGTCGAATTTCCCCCCGTCCGTTCCAGCCGGCTATAACGCACTTTCCCAACGATCCCGCGGAGGTCAAGTCAATCCGTTGACGCGATCGAAAAATTACTGCGGGCAAATATCCTCGGGCGAATGTACACGTACGCCGCCGTTTCCCCTCGCCGGCTGCCATTTACGCAACGAGGGTGAGATCGAGGAGCGCGCGTATCGTGCGGCACTGCAGCGAGGGACTCTCCTTTCGGTAATCGATACTAATTAGAATGAGGCAAAGTTTCGGATCGTGTGCCGGCGCCCGCTTCAACGGTACGCCCCGTTCACCCCTACGGGGTATCACCCCATCCCGCCCCCCTCTCCCCCCTCCCACCGTCGGTTCTTCCGGGGAGGGGGGTTAATATCGACGAGACGGTACCTACGACGTATTGTAGGCTTTCGTAGAATTTATCCGGCCATTATATCGGCGCGGCTGTGAGTGAGTGTTCTCGACATAAATGGGCCCTATCACTGTCACACGAACAAAAGCGTGGCCCCGACGTGGTTATGACGGCAACGCGATACCCGCTTTCGAGTAATAATATAATAATCGCGGCTGTTTCGCCGTCGTCGTTGAACCCCGCGGGGAGATTGGCCCCTCTCCTCCCGTCTCGTTTCTTGTCTCTAAGCTCTCTTTCCACTTCGGGCATGAATAGGACGGAGGAAACCCACTCCGACGGTCTCTCCTTCGCGGCCGGATACATCAAGCGAATCTGAATATGGATTTCATTCTTTCGTATCGGCGCTTTGTGCAATTATTCTGCCCCTTCCCTCCCCCTGTTGCCCTTTTATCGCTTCTGCCACCCTCTCAACTCTTCTTTGTACGCGCGTCTGTCTTCTCCTCCACGACATGCATGCGCGTTAGTCCTTTCCATTTGGAGCAATTTTTTTTAATATTTTGATGCACATACTAATTTTCTACCAACATGGCACTTCAGTTGATAGAAGTATGATAAAAAAAGCCGATCAATGTGTTTTTTTAATACTCACAACAATTCCCAATGATATTATGGATATTAATGATATTAATGATATTATTATGGATATTAATAATATTAATAATATTATTTCGTTCACTTAAAAGAATTTTTTTATGGTTTAAAATATTTTATTGATTTAAAGGCTAAAGGTGTGACAATTTTTTTCAAAAAGGGAATGAAATTAAAATAAAAATATTTAGATATACGAAAAACTGGTTGTACAAATGTCATATTATTAGTATTATTACTGATTTTGACTATATTAAAAATCTCGTAAAGTACATCGGAAAAAATGTCCAATTTTTCGGTCAATATAAGCCAATCCTTGTAGGGACAAAAGATTACAAGCTGCAGAAAGTGGTTTCCCCATCGTTTTTTTCCCCGGCCGTTACGTCCTTGACCGCTTTAACCGATCGCCCGATATCGATTGTGCCCACCGCAAAACTATACCGGTTGTCCGAACAATCAGCCGCTTCCGCTAACGACGCTGTTGGTTCGCCGTCGCTCGTCCGGATTGTCTCGGAATGGTATTTCCGAAAATTGAAGGGAATAGTGCTATCAAAACGAGATGAAATCGAAGACAAGTCTAAAGCATCTGAACCGAAAGAGCAAAGGTTACAACTGACGGTAGAAATATACTATGTCAACGACGCTCGATTTTTAATTTAAAAATTTATCAAAAAAAAAAAACTCGATGTGATACTCGATGTTGTACTCGACGCTTTATATCTTCGCAAGATATTTTCGGTATCCAGATTTTAATGCCATTTGTCCTTGAGAGATTCAGATGTTGTCGATGATCAGGCATATACTTAAGACAGTGCCGGGACAATTCTCGGCGCTTTTTATACTCATGTCGGACAAAAGAAGCCTATTGAATACCGATACCGAGTGTCTCTCCTTTCGCGAGGACTCTCGCGAAATATAACGTGCCGCTTTGCTTTGCCTCGGACCGACCGCAATATCGGGACGACTGTTTCGATCGGCGAGGACGGAGAAAATCCCGGCTGTTTGACGAGTGGCTGATCCTCATCGTAAACAGCGTTTCTCGCGACGCGCGTCCCGCCGCTGTTATAGCTCCTGGGCTCGTAATCGAGATCGAATCCATCGTCTGTTGGAAATGTTTCGATCTTCACCTCTCGCGTAAGCGACGGTAATCCCGGTTACGAGGAGCGCCAGCGACATTTCAAGAGTATACACAAGATAACACGACGAAATGACGAAAAGGTGCGGGGTCTAGACTAGACTCTCTCTCTCTCGCGGCCGTTGAGTATCAGTAAAACGTGCTCTCGGAAGGGCCGTAAACCGTACCCAAACAAACCTGAAATAGCTGGGTCGACTACGACGGAGTCTTGACGAGTCTTGCTGACTGCTGATGCCGGCACCGTCTGTATTCTCGGGCGCAAATAAATAATAAACGTTACACGCACCGTCCCTTACGAAAGCTGCACCCTGGACGAGCTATCATCGGCTCCTTTACGACTGACGGATGCTTCAGAAAACGGCCAACGGATGAGAACGAAAGTAACCGGTCGCTGGATAAAGTGGTTACAACGCGTTCCGCGTGATCTTTTCCGTGATCTTTTCCGCAAATGCTTATTCCCGTCGATGGAAATCCGCCTTGTAATTTATGATTACACCAGCTCGCTCGTGTTGAGTGTTCTTGTTTCAAGTATAATTAGCTAAGAAGTATAATTTTAATTAAAAAAAAGTATTTTATTCTAATCGTAAAAATTATTCTTATCGTAAATGATAAAGGTACATGAGACCGCGCTATCTCTTATGAGACTATTTAACCACGAAATGGGGGTGAAGAAATTATATACTTTTTATTGTACCTCGAGGAGATAAAATGGAGAGAGATACGCAAGATTGTGTGCGATTACGTTTCCAGTTATTGCGCATATCGACATTTAACTATCATTTCAAATGGCGAGCGCGCGTTTTAGCCACTTTCCGAACGACCCTCGGCTCTCTCATCGATACACTATGACCACCGTCTCCTTCCCGTTGGTGCCCTAAGGGCAGCTGGGAGCGCTTCCGAGCCCTAAAGCCACACCCTCGATTCTCATTAAGATTTACCGTGTAAACGAGCGTTGCCCGTGTCCGGACGGTGCTACTAATCGAACCCCTCGGGCCGAAAGAATTGAAAACAATGCGGAGCCGATGCCGATTTTCGAGGCTTTTAGAAGAACGAGATCGGCAGGCGTTAAAAGCATCGAAGATACAGAGGCAGTTGTCTGGGTGATTTATATTTAACGAAATTGTCGGTAGGTGCTGGCGCGCAATTATCAGTAAATTAATTCGACCTCGGAACAATCGCACGTTACAATCATGCGTGACAGAGAAATCGAAGAATCAACGTGTAATTTAATATATTCAGGACGTTGCAAAACTGTGTCCATCAAGACTTTGTTGAAATTAATTGAAGACTGTGATTTTGTTACGACGAAATGTAATTTGCAAGAAATACCCTGTAATTTCAATCGCTCGTAACACGAAAATTACGTCGATGTCCTCGTTAAAAGGAAAAATTGGCATCACGCGCGTTCATCAAAGGAGTGATATTGCGAAGCAACTTTATATAATTTTAATAATATAATTCGACAGGTACAAATATCTTCCTATCATTTTAAACGAATCAATAAAAAATTATCGTTTACACTGAAATATTAAGAAACCAGGAAAATTGTAGATTGGGAATCGTATACGATCCCTCGATTAATTAGTGCGGAATAAAAACGACTGAGGACTTTTGGAGCAAATTGGAGTAAGACCTTCAATAGTTTCAGAGAGTTTAGGCTCTTCGCTGCCTAAACTCACTTGCTTGGCTTTCCTCCTGACTTCGTTCGCGACGAGGCTACGGCTTCTCTCATCCTCCCCGTACATCCTGTGTTCCCCACCCGTTCCCCTCGCCCCCCCGCGTTTCACCCTACGTGTCTCATCCTCTCTCGGGCCCGCGTCGCGTCCTCTTTCCCTCTATAATTTTCACCCGAATACCTGCTCTAATTATAGGTATTTCGTCACGACGAAGAGAGAGAGAGAGAGAGCGAGATCCTCTCCGTGGTGTCGGTAGCTCGCGCGCTGCGGTTCCTATACCGCTGTGCATCGTTACAAGGTATTTCATCGTAAGGATGATCCATAACGCGTCGGCCACCGCGTTCCCTCGATAGCGTTCTCTCGCACCGACTTGCCTTGGATCAAAAGGCGACGGTTGCTCGCGCGAAAGGATTCATGCACTCGTCAAAAATTCGCGCATTTTAAGTAACTGTAAACGATGGAAGAACGGTGCAAACTTTGAGTATAGAGATCGAAGTGTATAGGGCTTTTGCATCTTTCTTTCATCGACAATTAGTCAATTTCGATTGCAACGATTATAGAAACCGACGCACTCCAAATCCAAGTGTGTAAATCTGTAGTTACATTTTACGCATTTATACGCGTGTTATATATTTTTACACATTTTATTTGTTTTACACAGTTAAATGCATACTTTTTACACGCTTACACATATTATTGTAAAATTAAGCGTGTAAAAATATGCATTTAACTGTGTAAAACACAGATAAAATGTGTAAAAATATATAACACGCGTATATAAATGCGTAAAATGTCACTACAGACACACTTTACACACTTGGATTTGGAGTGCAGTGTACCGTTTCTTCTCCGATTGAGATACCATTGTATCTTCTGTAAACGTAAATCGTAAGAGAGACCGGGAGGGGAGGGGGGAGGGGGTGGTAGTTCAACGCGCCGTTCCATTCGCGACGACCCGTCCATTTAACGGCGCGCCTAACCCGCGCGCAATGAGGCGTGGAATTAATTAAATTAATCACCCGATATAACCGTCATTACGTTATTACGAGGCGCGTGTTCTGCTTTATAGGTACTTGGGGCTGGAGCCGAGGCTGACATCCGGCTCGATCCAAGGGAGCGGCGTCGACCCGCAGACGCAGATCGCCGGCGCGGGTGTGATCGGGCCGGCGAGCGCCGAAAAGAACTGTAAGAACGCGCACCTGACCGCCAAGCAGCAGGCAATATGCTCCCGCTCGCCACCCGTCCTGCAGGTATTTACCTCGTAGCGCGGCCTCGAAGGGCCCCGCGCGGCTTCTCTCTTTCTCTCTCTCTCTTTCTTTCTTTCTCTCTCTTCCTCTCGGATTAATGCCCGGGGAAGCACGCGGCTAATTCGATTCGCGGGACCTACGACCGCGTGCCGAACATCGGCCTTCGGCCGGCCGACCGACCGACATTTTTCGGTCGACTCGCTTCTGAGAAAGTTTCTCGACGGCTCTTTCGGCCTCCGTGTAATAAATGGATTAATGTGTCGTGATTAGTAGTTTTTTGGGCATTATCAGAGGGATCACGGGGGAATTATAGGGTCCGCGTGTACCGCGCGTGTAGCGATAATCTCCTCGCCGACAATTTTTGAAATCTGAGTTTAATCTCCGGGGAATTTACGGAGTATCGCCGCACCAGAGATTCGAATTCTCAGGCTAACTTATTATATTGTATATTCGTTGCTATTTTCGCGTGTAGGAGTTAACGAACTCGCTGCGCAGAGAAAACGAAAGAAATTGAGCAACGGGATCGGAGATATTCGGCCGCGTTTCTTTACATAATTAAACGACTGTTCCGTCCGTGAATTTCCGATTGTAATCCCCCCTCGTCCGTTGCGGTATGGAGAAAGTTTCTTTTGCGACGGGACGTAACGTTATATAGCGGCATCCAAGGATTTACCGCTGAGTTTACGGCGATACACAATAGGCATAGGTACGAACTCTTTAAGCGGAACAAATTTGTCTCCCGATCGGGCATCGCACGTTCCAATCTCGGCCGCTACCCGTGACAAAACGTAACCGGACTGTCGTGCGGTTCACGCCGACGTCCCGAAATCGCGTTTACCTTTCCTTAATGCACAAAACGTGTCGGGAGGGTGAGCGGAGGGAGGGAGAGAGGGGGGGGGAGCGAAAGGGGAAGGGACGGTCGTCTAGGAATCTATCTAGGTACCTAGGTAAACCTCGGAGAACCACGAGGCATCGATATCTCCTTTGAATACCGCCGACAGCACGTTGCCGCTTTTCCGAGTGTAAGTTACCGACAAAAGAGGCTCGGGGGGCATGAATATTCATATGTCAATCCGGGGTATCGAAGTTTAATTTTTTTAACGAGCGACCAAACCCATTAAGAGACGGCTGAACGCTTTCCAATGATCCACGGAATGTCCGCCGCTGTCCGATATCTACTTACGTTACTTACTGCTCACGTGGGACACGGTCGCGATTTACGATTTAATAATTAAGTGCGACGTCGTGTTTTTGCGTAAGCCGGGATTTCGTTTTATCGTATGGCCTGGGACGTTAGATGATAACTGTCAGCATGTGCTTTTAAACGATGACTCACACTCGTGACAAAATCGTGAGGAGAAAGCGGTGGTCGGTAAATCAAAGGAACGAATAAGGAATAAGACGTTAAATGGAAGTTATTGATTAAATAATAATAAATTGTTTGAATTTTAATAAGTTTCGCCGAAATTTTCCCAATTTTCACTTTCGATCGGCCATTAGCAGACCCTCCGTCATGTCTTTTTACTGCACGATAAATCGATCTTTAGAACGTCGGGGAGATGTTAAAATTTAAAAAACGGTTGTTTGAGCAGCGCGGCTCGCTCGATGCGGGGAAAACGTCGCTCGAGGCTTTCGTATCCGAGAGAGAGAGGCGGCGTTTCTTTTGATTCTTAGGCTTTCACCGTCTTACGCTTGCAGGCAGTCAGCGCGGGCGCTAGGCTCGCCATAGAGGAGTGCCAGCACCAGTTTAGATCAGCGAGATGGAACTGTTCCGTCAGCCCGGAAAATCCCGAGAACGTGTTCGGCGGCGTCACGTTAGTCAGTAAGTACTCACGGTTCGATGCCTGAAGCGCGCGCGGCTTCGAACCCCGCGCGCCCGGATGTGTCGCTTCTCCACACACATACACACACAGAGAGCGAGCCTGCTCACACCATTCGCGCTACACTTGTAACATCAAGTGGTCCACGAGTGGTCCGGCTTGTGGCGCGACGAAAAAGAGAGAAAAAAAAATCCGTTTGCGTTTTGCAGATAGCCGAGAAGCCGCGTTCATATATGCCGTATCAGCAGCCGGGGTCGCTTACAGTGTCACGAGAGCCTGCTCCAGAGGCGAGCTCACCGATTGCTCCTGCGACAATCGTGTGAGAACGCGACATCAGAACAATTGGCAGTGGGGAGGATGCAGCGAGGTGAGTGTCACGAGGATTCATTTCTTTTGCGTATAGATCTGCCGTACGTGCCTCCCTATCTGTACTCGATGAGTCATTTTTTGTTTCCTCGCTGTGCATATAACACGCCGTGTGATTTACAATTAAGTCTCATATAAATGATGTCGCGCGTATCACGCGTGTTATATAGATCTTTATCTAACTATAGCTATAATCTATTTCATTTGCGTTATTAGTTTAGTTAATCACGAAAAGGGAATTGGACAAATAATATCGATATTAAGTTCGAGATATAGATTAAAAATTCTTATTTTGACACGACCGACGTGTTGCGCCGTGTGATTTACAAGCCTCATATATAAATGTCGCGCGTATCACGTATTATATAGATTTTTATCTAACTATGCCATCTATTTTATTTGCGTTATTAGTTCAGTTATTCGTGAAAAGGGAATTGGACAAATAATATCGATATTAAGTTCGAGATATAGATTAAAAATTCTTATTTTGACACGACCGACGTGTTGCGCCGTGTGATTTACAAGCCTCATATAAATGTCGCGCATATCACGTATTTTATATAAGTTAGATTTTTATCTAACTATGCCATCTATTTTATTTGCGTTATTAGTTTAGTTATACACGAAAAGGGAATTGGACAAATAATATCGATGTTAAGCACGAGATATATTAAAAATCTTTATTTTGACACGACCGACGTGTTGCGTATGCCGTATACCAATATCGCGCTGCAAGGGGTTGGGACACGTGCATCGGTAATTATCTGATATCTCTTTGCCCGGCGCTGTCTCTCACCGGGCAGCGAGTCTTTCGACGCGAATTTTAATGCCAGCCGAAGACAAAGCTCGAGCAGTAAACGGATGCGTTTCATGCGAACGGCTGACCCCTTGTAGACATTGCCGGCTTACAAGGGGATTAAGGGAGCTAAGCTTGTTAAGTTGCAACAACCCACCGGCCCTGCGCCCTTCCCCCTCCCCATCTTCCCTTCTACTCTCCTTTTCCCCTGCAATCCGGACACGTAACTTAGTCGGGCACATGAGGAACGAGAGTTCGCGCAACACACGTATACACGCGTGACACGTGCAGAGACAGTTAGGTATACGCGCTGTCGGAGTATGTGGGACTCAAATATCTTTGAATCGCAATGTATCTTACATTCAGGATTTATTAGTAATAATATTAATTAGCAATAATAAATAAATATTGTTAATGTAACATATATTTTTTTATTATTAGCATTTAGCAATTAACATCATAATAAATATATTATTATATTAATTCTAATGTAATTAATAATAGTGAGTTTTTATATTGTTTCTAAATATAGACAAATTGGGATTCTCTTAAAGAATGCAAGTACGATTGTCGAGCTTGATGAGCTTTGATAAGCGAATTTGCGTACTAATTATGTAACAATAATTAACATTTTTTGTCATTATATTGATTGAGAGATCAATTTATAAAGGCATTTTACATTTAAAAAAAAAGGAATATTTTGGACGGAGAATTGTATATTCCTCCTTTTCTCTTTCTTTCTCTCTCATTTTTCTTCTGCGATTTTAATATTTTTGATTTTGATATCTATTTAATTATTACACAATTAATTTGAATACCTATTTTGTTAAGGAAATATCGTGACGATCATATTACAAAACTTCTTATCCAGTCGCGAGAGTTAGGGCGTGAGAAAACGTGAAAATCGCGGGGGAGAGTCGGATGTATCTTAACGAGGGTGAGTTCGGTGGACAAATGCCTCGGATAACCGGCGACACAGAACTCGGAGGTAATGATGTTTGCCCGCTCTCTCGCCCGAGCAGCCGGCAGGGTCTCGCCCATTAAAAGCCACCGGGTCTGAATAAGTTTTTGTCTTACTATCGTTTATATTATCAAGCGGATTCACGGCGATATAATTGAAGAACTTTCACGTAACCGATCGTTAGATAAATGTCGTGATAGCAAAAATACGTCCGGTCGCTTTAGATTTAATTAAATCTGTAGCTGTTATATACTAATTGAAATAATTATACCAATACAATTATTATACTAATTGAACCAATATTATTTGCAACAATATTCGAAATATAAACGACATTATGACGATATAAGAACGCGACGATTTATGCTCGTTCATTAAAACTAAATCCAAATAGATCAATGGCGATTCGACTATCTTCATAGCAATAAAAACGCAAGTTGCATCTACGAATATCGATGCAGCGAATTATAAAATAAGACATACCTAACGGCAATCGCGAGATCGGAGATATTTATTGCGTCCTCGCTGCACACCTCGAAAAAGTGAAACAGGTGGAATGGACCTTGATCAGTTCCTGGCACACAGAGAAGCGTCGACACTGAAATGACGATGTAATTGTATAAATTGCATATAATTGTAGTGACTGCACGCGAAATTTTAGATTACAATACAGGAACGCGTGCACGCCTGTAAACATCAAACGGCAATTTCCGAAGCATTCGCGAGGATCTTTCGCGCGCGAGAGATTCGCTCTTACGCAGCAACACAATCGCGGTAAAATACGCGAATTGTTAATGCGAAAAAACAATGTGCGACACGAGTCTGTCACGGCGCGTTCATGATTACTGATCCTGATTTCGAGAATCGCGTTTCTTGAGATATCAAAGCGGCGAATCAATCGGAGCAATCGGCAGCATTTCACGAAATTAGTGCGAGTGTTCGGAGGGAAGGTCGTAGGAATAAAATGAAATTCGAAATATGCAGAGTGACCAAAACGAGTAACGAGTTACTGCAAAAGACGTAGTTAACGCAGTTAATCGCGAAACGATGATATACATACCTAGCGATGATCCCGTTTCTTACATCTCCGTTGCGGAGAAATAATGGCGTCAGATCGGCGGATCGCAATTTCGGGCGATCGATATCGAGATCGTTTTATTGGCACGCATAATAACTGTTGCACGTGACACCCCGCGCGTACGTACATACATCCGGCCCTTCGCGGAACAGAAAAGGGCTTTTCGGCGCGCGAGATTCACTCTTGAACGGCGAAATTACAATCGCGATTCGCGACGAGGACCGAACGATAGAAACGCGTCGCGAAAGACGTTGCGTGACTACTGACTGACCGCGGGTTCGAGAATCGCAATATCGTACTATCGCGATTTTCGAGATATCGACGCGGTGGAATTAATCGCTGTAAACTTTTCACTGTCGATAATAAAAATAGTGATTTGGTCACGTAAAACGATATCGTGTGTTTGTTATCCTCGGGTACGTACAGCCAAAATGCGGTTGGTAATGTCATCGTACTTCAATTACCACCCACCGGGCCCACCGGCTTGACAGTCGTGAAAATTTGCCTTTGGCTGCAGCTGGCCGTAGATGTCAAAAATAAGAAGAAATAATTAATATGAATTACTTGTGACAATTTGTTGCAAAAATCCGAAAACGCCGAAGGCAGGCGCTATTGATATGTTAAAACAAAAAAAATGTTAGATACGATATACGCTTGTTAGACGAAATATTAATATAAAAAATGATGACATGTAAAATATAATAAAGTCCCCTTTATTGACGTATTACCCTTTAATATTATATTACTGTGTAAATAACAAAGTAATATGCACGCAAAATTTTTTTCGATAATGCGGAAGATCGAAACACTCCCTCGAGTTCTAAGCGATTATTTAAAGTATGAGAATGAAATGCGGGATTTATTTGTTTATCGCTACCACATCAACAGGATACTATCGAAGACCCTCGGTGACTTGACTGTGTACAACGGGCTGTCGTCGATAAGTCGACGTGCATGATGCTACTCGAGAGAAAGAGTAAGAGATAGGGGGGAGGAGGGAGAGTGGTGGTGCTCGAGGGGAAGGATTACGTTTAGACAGCATCTGACAGTGAAAGCAAAGAGGGCACGATATAATCTCGGCTTGCTCCGACGTGTATTGGGAAAATGTATCCGAAAACGGCGAAGGCGGGCGCTATTAATAAAATGTTAGATACGATACGCTAAAATAAAATATTAATATAAAAAATGATGATATATAATATAATAAAATTCCCTTTATAACGTATTACCCTTCGATATTATGTTACTGTGTAAATAACGAAGTAACGCAGTATTAAATATGCCAGACACGGCAGGAATCTCACAATTTAGAACGCGACGAAGTTGCATCGCTCGTCTTTGATGATATGCGTTTTGTTCAGCTCGCATCCAGCATCCAGCGCGAAACTTGTATATACCGCGCGTACCGCACATTCGTAACCGTGAATCGCGCGTAAAGCTGTGCCTCGGAAGTTTCAAAGCCGGGGGACTTTAAGGACCCCCGCGCGAAATCTCCTCCGGCAGGCTTAGGACCTGTTCGCTTAATCTCCACGGCCGTTCCCCGGCTCGTTGTCGTCGTCGCAAAACGAAGGGAAGCCGGACGATGTAAGGAAAAAAAAAAAGAAAAGAAAAGATCCGAAAGAGAGATATCCCTAGAGGACATTCGACTCCAGGATGTCCGTCGGAAAGTCTTCTCGACGCGTTTCTCTTATAGCGTTTTTAAGTCCTTTAGCGTTAAGCTTTCGACGTTAGTTTGAAAAAATATGCGAAACGTGTGTAATCACCTGCAGGATATACACTTCGGGGAAAAGTTTTCGCGGGAATGGTCCGAGGGCGGAGAGGAACCGGTGAAGGAGGGCGCTCTGTACGGGCCCAAAGGGTTGGCTGGTCAACTGATGAGGAAGCACGACAGCGAGGCCGGCAGACGTGCCATTCGCTCCAGGATGCAGCGCGTTTGCAAGTGTCACGGTGAGCAGCAACGAAGAATATCCTTCGACGAAGAACAATCCTTCCTATAGTAAAACGCGACGGAAAATATAAATAAATATAAATATACAAATATAAATATTGGTACCGCGCGCTTCATCCTCATCTCGCGCCCCGCTGAATAATTCCTCCCTCTACTCACTCTTCTCTCATCTGTCGCGACAGGCATGTCCGGCTCGTGCAGCGTCCGCGTGTGCTGGCGAAGACTACCGTCGTTCCGGGTGGCCGGAGTCGCCCTGGCGGCCTTGCATGAGGGTGCCGCCCTGATGCGACTGGCGCAACGCGGCGGCAGAAGACCGGCCAGGCTCAGACCGGCGCGTTCTGATCTTAAACGGCCGAACAAGACGGATCTGGTTTATCTCGAGGACAGCCCCGACTACTGCGAAAGGAATCTCACGTGAGTCTAACTCGAACCTTGCACAAAAAAAAACAAACAAACTCCCACGACTTGGTCATGTTGAATCCTCCAGTATAGTATTATCTGTCGATTAAAAAAGTACGATCGCACGAATCAGCTTTAAAAATGCTTTAAAGAAGCATATTTGATCTTTTTGTAACTAAAAAACATCAAGTACTTATTGTTAATATACTTTTGGAGAACATGTGAAGAAATACACAAAAGCGGATTATTAAGGAAAATTTCGTGAAAAAATTTCGCGCGTTTTTATATTATTTCATCGCGAGTTTGTCGCGGTTAAAAACGTTCAACACGGCCCGAGGGATTAATCAGAAAAATCTCTACGCCGACGGTATCGTTTCTCCTTTTTCTGCTGCATCATCACGCGCTTTTGCACAACGACATTATGATTCTCGTTTCCTCCGCAGGCTCGGCATTCCTGGCACGCGGGGAAGAGTGTGCAATCGGACGTCTCTCGGACTGGACGGATGCCGGCTGCTGTGCTGCGGCCGGGGCTATCAGACGCGAGTGCGGGACGTCACCGAGAAATGCAAGTGCCGATTCGTCTGGTGCTGTCAAGTGAAGTGCGAGATGTGCCGGCACACGCGGGAGGAGCACGTGTGCAACTAGACGACGGCAGACGCATTCCCGTGGTTCGGCCTATCTGCAGGAACGCGCTTACCATTTTTTTTCTCTTTTTTTTCTACGTTCGGATTAAATCTTCGTTGCCACTTCGCGTTGTATATCCGCAATTAACGCCGCGAGAGGCTACACAACGACACGTACGTTACGTCGATGCGGTTTCCGCCTGACGGTTCGCGCAAATCGTAAGCACCGTTCTTCAGCAACGTCGCGTGAATAATAAAATGCACTATGAGAGCCTTTGTGCTTCCATAAAAAGAGCATGGAAAATCTTGCGAAGAGCTATGTGTGAATGATGAATGAATTATATATTATTCGACATATTCATTTATTTTGAAACGGACGGCTCCGATTGCATCTTTTGCTATAAGAGCGTCCGCTCTTATAGTCACCTTCACTTTTATGATTCATTAATTTAAATATTTTAATCACCTAGGATACTTTTTACCTGCAGGGGGCTCGAGCGAAATTGCCCGCGGCAATCACGATTCTCGGGATTATTATTATAACGCTAACGTAACGATACGACGAGGTTGCTGTTGCGCGGCTTATCATCACCGTTCCGACCGTCAGGCGGCACGTTTACTTGCGCGAACGTTTAACGCATCGAAAATGAATGTGTTATTTTAATTTACATTTAATCGTTTAATTTTATCTCGACACCCGGATGTACCGCAGGAGGAGAGGCGTGTACTCCAGGGACGCACCGAGCGCGAGGGACACGCTCGCCTTGCGCGTCACCGGACTCGCGCGATCTGCACGATTCCGTGTCCCGAAGTAACAACGCGGACACGGCCATCAAGAGTTTCCCCTCATCTCTTTCCCCCCGACTCTATTATATACATATATATATAAATATTTATTTATTCGATATAGCTGTATGTATATCTCATATAATTAGTACGCGCATTCTTTTTATAGCGAGAATCGAGTGATAGAAGACTTGGTCGGAATTTTATCTAGATTTCTCCTCGTGACATATTTACGCATCTCGCGACGCTCGACATCGCGCCCTGATGTGCCAATTTACTATTTCTGCGTGTGACAGGGAGAGAGAGAGAGAGAGAGAGAAAGAGAGAGAGAGAGAGCGAGAAAGAAAAAGAGCGAATGAAAGAACGGAGTGAAAGAGAGTGAGAGAGAGGAAAGGGAGAAAAAGAGTAAGTGGGAGTATGCAAAGCAGAGCATAAAGGAGAGCAAAAACGTGGTAATAAGACCACGCGCGTCGATTACTTTTTCTTTTCCCCCCTCCCTCCCCCGTTCTCGCGCACATTCGCGTATGATACGCGTGCAATTGCGCGACGAGCGTCCTATTTATATCGAAGTAAAGACCTCCGCACGGTGTCTCGGTAGATATCTCACACACATACACACATACACACACACACACACACATACACACTGTACATGTTGATGCTCTCTAGTGCGTAGAGCCTTCTTTTCGCCTAATTAGAGAGCAACGTAGCGAGGAGTCGCGCCACGCCGGGCGCACGAGCGAGACTCGCGAAGATCCTCGGGATCTCCGCGCGGGCCCTTGACTCGCCACGAATCGGGAACAATACTGCCAATGAATGTAAATAGATCGTCTCACTGTTTTTTCTAGACTCTTTACGTCCGTAATCGTCGTTGTATATACATATAGGCGTTTCGCGCTTAGGCTTCGTTTAGGGATGAAAAAAAAAAAATCTTCCGCGTTGCGTTTTTTCAGAGTTCCACACGAAATACTCTTATCCCATTATCCGTGATTATATATCTCTCTCTCACCGTCACTATTTTATATATTTAATATGACGATAATATATATATAATATACATATGATACCGCTTTTTATCGCATGCCGCGCCAGTTAAAGTCGGCAGTCTAGTCATTTACGAATCTTTCGGATCCCCCTCCTCCCCTGCCCATACCAGCGGACACACTAAGCTCACAACGAATTACACGCGAGATTTCTCGCGCATTCTCTTCGGCCGAAATTGTAGTAGCATTATAACGCATCGCGCAATTATTATTTTGAAAGGCCTAGATATATACAATAGATATATGCTTATTATTTTATAGCTATAAATATTAAATATTACGCAATGTCTTATAAACGGGAATCTGCAACTTCTCAAATAATCTGCTGAAATAATTCACTCGAATTATCGGAAGGGATTATTCGCGTACGTTACATAGTACCATCATATACGCATGCATATTATGGTATTATGCCAATTACAGACACGTGTGCGGAATGTGCTTATTAAATTTCTGCGAATATGAAATTACTACTCCACAGATCTAATTAATTAGTGGACAAACGCTTACTCGATGAATTCACTCGTAAGATACTTCGCATTATTGCGAATATATTCTATGGACATAAATCATTAAACGTGTTATTTCGTGAGGTTGCATACCTCGTCTCTTTTATTTCTTTAGGATACGGCCTTAAGTAACGTAGTGGATATCGCGATTCGTCCGTATACTGTAAGAACTTAGCGGTAAAACACGCAAAACACGAGGGAATACGCTCGTGCCAACGACATACAGAATTCAGTATTGACAAACTGTAATTTATTTTCTTCACGATAATCTACATCACCCTTCATTAGACCTTTGTAGTCCTTTTCAGTCAAATTATGAGAAGGTGTTCTCGTAATAATATATAATAGTAATAATAATAGTAAAAAATGTCTCTTCGCTAACTATGAGATAACTCCTAGCTCGTAAAACCTTTGTATTCGTATGTACCTGTATTCTACGTGCATTTATATAAATAAAAATATATATGTATATATATGTATATACGGAAAATGTCCATGCATGCGTATGTCAAGTCGAGTCTCAGTGGAACGCACTCTATTGCTTGTAACGTCCCTTTGATATTTGCACTTTGTTAGCCGTGACGAGATATCGCGCGACGACCGCGCTGCCCGTGCAGACGATCCCGATGATCACACCTACCAGAAGGCCGACGAACAATTGAATGTCCTCCGTGAGCGTCCTCGCCTGACTCTTCGGTCTGTGGAACTTCTCGGTGTCGTCTTTCGTCCTCGCGATATAGCCCAGCCAATAGACGAGCCTGTCCGACGGTGGGTTCAGTTGGTCGCGCATCGCCACGGAGACCTTCCGCGCACTTTCACGATACGCCACCGTCTCGTGGATCTCGTTCACTATCTGCGCGATCTCCACGGCGGAGGCGTGATCGTTCGCGGCCTCGGTGGAACGCGCGAAGCCCAACTCGACCGCGCGGGCCGCGTTGCGAGACTCGTGGGCGTCCCTCGGCAGACATATCAGAGGCGTCCTGTGAAAGGCGGCTTCCAGGAATTCCGTATCGGTACAATGACTCAACACCATTCGGGTTCGGCTGTAACCTGTAACAATGGCAACAGTATTAAGGGAAAGAGAGAGAATGCCTCCACCGCTATTGCCACATTATCCTCTCTCAGCGCGATTATTCAATTCAATGGCGCTTTAGAGAGCTCGCATTCGCGAGGCACGTATTTCACTTGTGCGCAAGTAAACGCCCTGGACTCATTGTTTTCATTTACTGTGAAACGTATTGTGGCATGAGAGAGAGAGAGAGAGAGAGAGAGAGAGAGAAATAAAGGTCCCTCAATGAGAATCCACATCGTATTTCGTAAAATTTAAAAGTTTACTCCTTAATCTTTAATCTTTGAACATTTGAAGATTAGAAAATTTGAATTGACATTACAGCATAAAATATCATGTACGTATATTCCTTATAATTTGACTATTGATTTGTGTTGAAACATTTTAAAGTTTTTCTGTTTAATTAATTTAATTCTCATTGTTACATTTTTTTATCAATGTATAATTAATTATATTTTACCTATCAAGTCTTGCCGATCGACGTCCTCGTCAATGAACAGATTTTCCGGCCTGGCGACGTTTGTATTGCTCTTATTCCGCCATATGACAGCTTGACCTTCCCTGCCTTGAGGCAATTTCTTTGCCAGTTCTCGTATTAACGTCTCGTAATTCTCTTCTAGAAGAACGACGATAGTACCCGTCCTATATTCTACCAATGACTTTTGCAAATTTTCAGGTAAATGATATACTCCTCTGCAGTGATGACAGCCGATCTAAGAGCAATTTTAAATCGATGATAAATTATATAGTTTAGGAGTCTAGAGAGATGTATAGATTGGTAAAATTATTTTTAAAAAAACAGAATAAAGGATTAATATGCATTTTTTACGAACCTTCACAAGTAGCTCTGTTAAAGGCGCAAAATCAGAACGTAACGCTGTATCGCCTGCCCAAAGCACCAGTCGAACATCCGAATAAAGGTGCTCCAAATCGATATTAACGTCCGGCAGATATTTGGTTGCTAATCGTAGAGCGGGAATTAGATAATCATTTTTAACACTGGAAAATATGGTTCTTCCTGAGAAACTTGTCGAAAGTCTTGCCCAAAATCCACCACTATGCACCGGCAGAGCAACTCTAGTGCATTCAAATGCATACAGCTCCTCATCTGGATTTTTTATCCAGATTACTGGAATCGATTCAATATGTTTTGCAAATGGAACCAAGCAACCATCGTGTCTAAAAAAAAATCACAAAAATGTATATTATAATATGTATAAAAATTCGTGAGAAATATTGATATTTCATTAAATTAATGAAGCTTTCAAATACATCGTAATAAAATAAAACCAATAAACTGAATTTTAAGATCAATATACCTTAATGCTGGAAATATGGTGAACGTAGGCTGAAATTCTTGTATTCTCTTCAATATTTCTTTATCCCGGAAGAGACTGTCGCATACTTCTAGCGAACGTTTGCTAGCGTGCATCGGCTTATCGGCGCTAACATCCAGTTGCAATACTTCAACGTCTATCAGCTTATTGTAAAGATCGTTGGCAGCGTATCCTGGTATTATCAACGTCGCATCAATCCCGTGATCCGACAAGGTATTAGCTAACAGTGACAGATCATATACGTTTTCAAATGCAATTACTAGAGCCGACAGAGGGGGTGCTGTCAAGGTCGAGCTGCTCGCAATTCGGAGTAAACAGAAGCACGTGTATAAGCCGATTAGCGTCAACATTATCACTATGGGTGCGCTCGAAATATTTGTCTCAATGTCTGTTTCGCTCGGATGGGCGATTCATGAAGCTCAGACGAGGACCAAAATTCGACCAGATTATCGATCTTTCCAATGATTTTTTAAAAATTATGATTGCATAAAAACGGCAAATTTTTTGTAGGCGATCAAATCAGCGCCGTATCAGCTAGTAAATAAACTTTCAAATTTGTTGGTAAATTACTAACTGAAGGTGTTGCGCTTAGAGCCCCGATGTTACTCAAACGCAGAATCTAAAAAAAAAAAATGCAAACAAAATTATCAAATTTGCGGAAGATACGACAAAAAAAAACATCCAAAGGACGCTTTGACTATCTCAGAAATGTACACCACGGATAAATATTTACCTCTTATCGCCCTTCGACGTCCAAAACTGTCGTCCGCACGCGTATAAACGATACAAATCACTTCACAACTTTGACACGCGAGACTTTCTGAATCAGATGTGATGCGTCAATATTTGGATCTTAAATTTCAAGCCGGACTCGTGTCCGCGTAAATCTCGGCCCAAGAATTATCGCCCGGAGGTCCCCGCGGAGATCGTCGCTCTTCGCGCCCGGTTCTCGAGCCAGATCGAACGAGGGAGCTTCGGGATTCCGGAGGGGCTTTCCGAAGCACGCAGTCTCTGACGCCGCGTGTACAGACGCAGGCGGGACACACGGCGCCGCGCGGCGTATGAATAACTCATACCCGAACGCAGAACGTCCGTGAGGCGTCCGCGCGCGATAATCGCGTGGGACGCCGATCCGATTCGTCTCGTCGCCCTCGCACCGCGCCCGGCGTGGTTTCCCCGTCCGGGAGGCGGGAGAGCGCGCGTCAGATGCACGCCGGCGACCGCAATCGCGGGTGTACCCCTCGTTATCGCCATCGCACGTGACAATTACAATCGCGAGTGTATATGTAACCGCGCGCATAGACCGCGTGGCGCGTAGACGCTACAGTGCGTTGCAAGTAGATTGAATCTTCCTTCGAAGGCGGCAGTCGAAGGCAAAAAGAGACTTGTTTGCGTTGCCTAAAATCCTCCAAATCCTCTAAAGATTTTTGCACTTGAAACATTGATAAATATACCGCGTGTCGGGTATTGAAGAGAGAGAAAACGAGGACTCAGTGCGAGCAACGCGAAAAGACGCGCCTAACCTAAAGACGAGGCACCTTCCTGCGACGCGATTGGTCGCCGCGCGTGCTTCGTGGGTCGGATTGGCCGTTGTTTCTTGTCCACTCCGACGATTCGGCGCAGCACTTTAGAAAACTGCAGTGTGCGCACTCTGCGCGTCTATACTTAATATTTTTGTTTCGGTTTCGCTCAGCTCGAGTGATCTAACCTGTTCAACCGTTAAATTTCTAATTCGCCAAATTCTATCGGCCCGGCCCGGTTTGGGGACCGACCGGCTGCCAACGGAAGGAAGTTACATTATAAGATTGGAAATTCAAGACAGGAGCGGAGGTTAGGTTTGGCCGTTGAATTCAGGTTAAGGTGCACACGGTCGGCGCAGATCCGGAGTTGACGATGGCTACGCCTCCGAATACCGGGTTGTCCTTCGGCACGCCAAAACCCACGGCAGGTGAGTCGAGACAAGTTGATTTCTGAAGAGAACAAAAAAATGACAGAACTAAAACGTTCTCTGTCACGTTTCTCTCCAACCTCGAAATCCACCGTCTGTGTTTTTAATGCGCGTGTTGTCTTCTCGTGTTGCAAGGGCTCACCAGTTTGACTTTCGGCACCCCGACCACCCTGGCGACCGCCGGAACCGGCTTCGGCCTCGGCGGCGGCATGACCGCGACGACGACGTCCATATCCACCGTGTCGAGTCTGCCGAGCTTCACGAATCTCGCGAGCAGCGGGACGCCGCCCATGCCCGTGGCGACGGGGCTCACGTTCGACCCCGCGAAAGCGTCGACAACGGTCGTGTCCACGGGATTTCCCATCGCCACGACCACGACGGGAGGTTTCAGCTTCGGCGTCGGGGCAGCCAAGCCTATGACGGGTACGCCTACATTTTCCGACGCAACGTGGAATTTGCTTTCTCACGACGTGAGAAAGATGCATAAGTGTCGGTTCACAGTAAGGATTTTAAGCCTTACACCGATAGAAGATATCGATCAAGTATAACCGGTTATTCCTCATATTCGACTGGTCTATCTCATATACGATTGGTCTATTCGCTCTATTTCTTACTTCTTAGGGCTTAAAATCCTCACTGTAGATCTCGATTGTAGATCGACACTAATGTTCGTGTTTATCTCTAAGGATCCACTGGCTTGACCTTCGGCACTCCGAACGCTGGCATGACTACTGGGGCTGGGTTTGGCCTCGGCAGCACGATCGCGACCACGACGTCCGCGCCGAGCGTTCCGAACTTCAGTCTTCCTAGCAGTACGGCGCCGACGTCCGTGACACCAGGGCTCTCGTTCGACGCATCGAAAACGGGCACCACCACAGCCACCTCGACCACGGGATTTGCTCTCGCGGCGACCACAGCGGCGCCGGGATTCAGTTTCGGGGTCGGAACGTCGACGACCACCTCCACTGGATTTCCTTTGAGCAAAACGACTTCCGCCGTTGTTTCAACGAGCCTAGCGGCACCCTCCACTCATACTTCCTTGGGTACCACCACCACGTAAGTACGGTCGCTGACATTACAAATTCTGTATTTGGAGTTATTGGTTTATTTTTATCCGCCACTAATAACAAATCCGATCTTGATTCATTGGAAAAATTTTTTATTTGCAGCGTTAGTTCCGCGACTGGTATTCAATCAGGGGCCATCAATTTCTGTCAGCTTGAAGAATCGATCAACAAGTGGACCTTAGAGCTGGAGGAGCAAGAGAAAGTGTTTGTGAACCAAGCGACGCAAGTCAACGCCTGGGATAAATTGTTGATAACGAACGGGGAGAAAATAGTGACGCTGAATCAAGAGGTCGAAAGAGTGAAAATCGAGCAGCAGCAATTGGAGCACGAGCTGGATTATGTTGTAAGTTACACTTGTATATTTGTAATGTTACAGATACATGTTACATATACATGTATATATACAATTAACACGAGTGAAATCAATTGCTAAATCAAATGAATAAAAATTTCATCGAATTAAATACAAAATAATTGTATCTCGTTCAGGTCGGACAACAGAAGGAGTTGCAAGAATGTTTAGTGCCGTTGGAAAAGGAGCTGGCGTCTCTTTCTGTCTCGGATTCCGATCGAGAGTACACGTATCGTTTGTCGGAGAACCTCGACACCCAGCTGAAACGCATGTCGGAGGACCTGAAGGAGATAATAGAACATTTGAACGAGGCGAACCGCGCTCAGGACTCCAGCGATCCTATCGTTCAAATTGGAAAGATTTTGAACGCGCACATGAACAGTCTGCAGTGGCTGGATCAACAAACGGCCTTGTTAAATCAGAAAATACAACAGATCGATCAGATGCATCAGAGCTTCAGGCAAGAGAGCGAACAGAATTTACATTTAGCTTACAATTAGCCGTTTCAACTCATTTTTATATTATATATTAACTTGTAACGATTATTTTTTGAATAATTTAACATAGTTCACTTAACGAAAAGTTCAACGTGTGAATGAAAATGGCGTATGAATGGAAATTGTGAAAAAATATATTTTGCATTTAAGTAATACTGCAAGTTCTTTTTCTCAAGAGGCAATGGCCGGTATAAAATAATGCATCTTAACGTGATCTCCCACATCTAGAGTTAGTTTCACCATCTTCTCCTGCAGTAAGTTACACTTGACGCTATCCGGGTGGAGAATGTCCCAACCCAGGAACATGGCGAGTTTCTTTATGGCAACAGTCGCCGAAATATCGCCAGTGTCCTCCTCTCCAGCTTCCCAAACTTGCAGTTCTTTGAAGTGAGTGGACACGGTAGCGTAGTCCACCTCGACCTTTAGCACCAGTGCACCACATTTATTAGCGATTATCGTCAGCTGAGAGCTCATATTCTTCATTCTCTCCACGATGTGCCGTATATACTTCAGCTGCGGTATTTCCAGCGTTACCTAGAATAAGGCTCTGCTTCTGTCGAATTGATCGCGCGACTTACAGAGTTACTGCATAAGGCCTGTTTAGCCGAATTTCTTGCTCCATTTATCTTATCTTTTTTTTCCAATGTGAAAGGAAAAAGAGGATGTTTTCTCTTTCTTTTTTTCTCTCTAACGTGAAAAGAGAAAAAGGAAGGATGAAGCGGAGGAGAAGTTGAGCTAAAAAGAACAGGCCTATTGCTGTACCTACATCGAACTCGGGAATGTCCGGCATTTTATGCTCCGGCCACTCTCTGCGAGGTATGAGCTTCACGGGCACGTCGTGCACGCACTGTCGCGAGTCGACGGACAGGGAGGTCAGGTCGATCTCGAACGTCAGACAGGGCTGCCGCTTGTTCGTCAATTTAATTTTCGCGCTCCTTGCCGTTATTTTCAGGCTGTTAAAGGTTCTGGCGAACATCGAGGCGTCGAACTCCAGGTAGATCTCGTTCTCCTGCTCGGACACGCCGCACATAACGTACTCCGCGAAGAAGTGCTGCTGCGATAGCACCGCCCAGAGCACGGGTATACGCTCGTCGCCGACGTTGAAGCACAATTCGTCCGGCGTCAATCGCAGCACGCAGTACTTCGCCATTCGGGATATAGTATTAACGATACCTGAAAATTACAAAAAAGACTTTTATTGACTAAAAAAATCGTCGAAAGGTCATCAGAGTTTTAGCATCCTCGACGCTTGCGAGGTTAGGAACGCGAAATTTAAACTTTACTCGTAAAATCCCGCATGGCACCCGCGTCCACCATTCTGCATTTGAACTTCATTTCTGATCATCACTTTCAAGTCATCCGTTTATCGCGGACACCTGACACTTCTTGCAAGTGTCAAAGAGAGTGAGGATGTAAAATTGGCGCGCGAAAAACTCTCCGATGGCGCGGCGCACATGTCGACCGTCACCGAATACCTATAATATATATAAATAAATATATACTGTGACTTTTGTTTCACTTGTCAAAGAAAACACAAATGTTACATCAAATTAGCACTTTGAGATTATCTATATTAATCCAAATGAATGCCCTCCAAAAAAAAAAGAATGATACTTTGCCTTACAAATAAACGGAAACTCAGAATTATATTGTTTAGGCTTGCATTTTGAAACATTTATAAAAATAGATTCATGGATATTTGATATTTAATAGAATTATTAAATTTAATAATTATATTTAATTAATATTAACATTATTTATACGTATTATATTTTATAGCAACTACAGTATTTGATCTTTTACAATATAAGCGGCACATTGGGAATAAAAAAAATGTGCGCTTCATTTGCCACCGTCGATAACGTAAGTATCTTCGATCATCTGATGTATTACCGATCGTACGGTGGATTAGCGGTTTGACGAGGAAGCGGAAGGGGACGGAGCTGCATGATCGACGGGGCCGAGCTCCGCGTCGGTGAGCTCCACTCCACGGGAAGTTATCCTGCGCGAGATAAACGTTCTCGCGGCGTCGCGGGAACTAGCGATCTACGCGTCGTAACTACATAGACGCTCGGTCTGTCAAAACCTCGCGCGGGCCCGCCGGCGGGACGCGATCGGTCCACGCGTTGGTGTCCACACCGTTGGTCGTCGCGTATCGCGGATCCCAAAGCGATCAGTGGCGAATTCGCGCGGGGAGTGTTTCGCGAGACGCCGACGACGGGCGAAGCAGGGCGAAGGGTTCGACTCGTTCTCTCCCCCCTCGGGCCGTCTCGGTTGTTCCGGAGGGTGGTGCGAACGGCCATATTGTTTAAATCTCTACGCGTCCACCACTCTCGCGCGCGCGCGGGTGGGTTACGTGATTACGTTCATCGGATGTTCACCTCGAGACGATGCGGCAATATGTTCCTCGCCAGAGAGAGGTGAGTGCATGTATATGTTGCCTTTTGCGTCGCGCGGCGGCCCCCACGAAAAGGGGGGGTCACGCGCGTCCGCTTGCATTTTAGACGCGTCTCTTTTTGTACACCCTCCTCCCCCCTCCCCCTTCATCCCTTTTTTGTATTTAAAATTAGACGAGTCCTATTACTCGAGTATTTTTTCTTTTTGGCGGTCGAGGCGGTCTCCGGGAGATGGACGAGATCTCCCGGAGAGTCTGCGGGAGCCGGGACGATCGGACGCGCTTTGTTGTGGTCGCACGCCTCCTCCGTCCCCCCCCTTCTTGTTTTTTTTTTTTTGAAACGCGGCATTTTTGGCGGGAAGGGAGCATGGAGTGGACGAGGGCGCGCGCGAGTCAGTGCGACGACAGGTAGCCTTTCACTCTCGCCGGCGCGGCACCGCGCGATGCTCCGCGCGATGCTCCTGTACCGCGAGAGACACCCGAGAGACCTCGAGGATTTCCGCGCACGAGTTTCCGCGTCATTGGCGCGCTTGGCCGAGCCGGCCCCGCGTCCCCGACAGCCGACTGACGCCGCCGCACGTCTAACCTCGCGTACACCGTGCAGGTACGTTCCAGGTGGGCTCGCGCCGACTTTTGCCTATTTTTTTTCATCTATTTCGTTGCGCGACGACGATTCTCATATATGAAGCGTGCACGAGACCAACGGACTTGGAAGCGACAATAACATCTCCGCGCCTCGTCAAGGTGAATTTCGACGTCGCTCGTCGAGCATCGTACTTCCGAGACCTATTATTGCCCGATTATTGTTGCCCGACTGTACGATTATCGTCCGTCGCGGTGTGTCATTTGTTTCCTGTCCGAACGGACGATGTCCTTGCCGCGCGGAATCCTCGATCTTCCGTACAAAACATTTCGGAATGCATCGACCTATCTTTTTTTTTTTTTACGTTCACATCTGTACGCAAAGATGATCTTTTTAGGTTCTTATTTCTAGACTCTAGAGCGAAATTGATCTTTTTTTTTCTTATTTTCCTATAATTGGAAGTATCTTTAATCTAATTATATTCATGTATTTGTTTTATAACTTTTTGTGTGACTGTCACACCGAAAGAAATGAAATTTTTAAAAAATATTTTTACCGTTATTTTTCATATCATTATATAGCGCGTATTTTTTAGTTTTCCTATATAGATTTTATTAAATTTTTCAATAATATTTTTCAAATAAGAATTTTATTGATCTGCCTGTCTGAATGTCAAATGCTTATATTTTTCTCCGGATATCCAGATCGAAAAATTTATATGAGTTATTGTATTCGCTCGAATTTGTGTTATTGCAAATCATGTTATTCTCTGTTTATGTCACTTTTCATAAAAATACGATCTCCGATCTCACTTGTTCTCTTCAACGATATTCGTTTTTATTTTGTTCGCGCAAATATGCGCCCGTAGGATAGGTCTCGTCTTTCTTATTCTTGTATCCGATAACCGAGAGAAGTGTAGAATAACATGTAAAAGGCGCCGATAAAAAAAATAAAATTTAGATAACATTTTTAACTTAAATTTACTATATTATTGTACATCACATTATTTTTTTATGCCGCTTTTTACAGATGTAAGTACAATTTTCGATCTTGGTTTTCGGTATCATACACTTTTTATTTTATCCGCTTGCGTCGATCTCATCTTTCTCATTCTGGTTATCCGATAACCGAGAGAGGTATAAAATAACCGATGTGTCAAAAAAAATCACCTTTCCCCTTCGGAGTAAAATTCAACCGAGAGATCCAAGAGGCGACGTTAAGGTTTGATAAATTTACTCCATTAATGACTTTTAAGGCGACTTTGATTAAATGATCTTTGATTAACGTAAATTAATGATCGGCAAATTAATTTCCATCGGCGAAATTACTTAAAGCAGGATTTTCGATTATATAACTCATTGTTTCTGATCTTCAATTTTTTTTACTGTATGATAAAAAAATTATTTCCCTTTAAATAATAATTTCATTTTGAAACTCAGAACGCTGTGCATGTATCATTTAATAAGTTAATTGTTTGTTTAGTTATGTTGCCGTTAATCGGAGTTTATCGGATCGAAATCGTTCTTAAACTTGTTCTGCGTCTTTTGTGCAGACATCGATCTTGCAATAATGAGAATAAACGCGTAATCGCGATAATTATAATTTTTTTGTCAGTCAGTGATCCGATGTAATAATAATAAAGATAATGTATTGCATACATTTAGATTGCGATAGGAATTATAATAACATTATTATAATAACAAAATAGATAAGTTCAAGATAGATAATCTTCAAGACGGAGATAAATAGTGAAGCATCAGGTGTCAACGATGCTGCTGCTGCTGCTGCTGCTATGATTTTTACCTGCAAATAAAAGAATATAGCATTTATGATGTAAATTGGATAAAGTGCAAGTAAAATACGGGCAAAATAGACAGAAACGTAGAACAGCATTTTGATAAAGTGCAAGTAAAATACGGGCAAAATAGATAGAAACGTAGAAAAGCATATAAAACAAACAGAGCCTGCATATAAGAGTGAATGTAACAAGATGATAGACACACAAGAATGCTTGAATATTTCCAGGATAGACTTTCAGTCTGCGACTGTCCATTTGAAATTGAGATTGGAGAGCTAAATATTATAGAATTTGAAATCTGTCAGATAATCTTAATCCGTTATGATTGGTTCTGATTCTAAGCTTCAATTCGCAATCCTCAATCTCCAACGCGTAGTCTAGAAAGCGCTACGAGCTTCCGGAGATTCGGATCTCGTCTCCATCAATTTTTGACGCTCGCTCGGTGAGAAACGCGAAGATCTGTCGCGACGCACTTTTATTTCCACCGCGCGCGGAAATATCCATCCGTCCCCGAGATCGCTTCGCAAACAGAGAACGATTTCCCTTCTCGTCCCGGAGAACGCCACGCAGTGTCCCACTTATCAATATTAAAACTGCCCGTCGGGAGATAGGGTGACGTCAACCCGCGGGTCCCAGTGCCCCGCATGGCAACTGCCAGACGGGGACAAGCGCAGACAAAACGTCTTTAGAGTCCACGCGTACACATCGCCTGCTGGTCTCTCTCTCTCTCCCTCCTCGTGGTCGCAAACGACGCGAACACGCCGCACACACGCCCCTACGTGTTGCGTGCGCCCTGGCCGTGCCCGGTTCGTGCCCTCCTGCACCTCCCACGTCCCCCTTTTCTCGCTCTCGTCGTCCTCCTCGTCCATTTGACGCGCGCGTTTCGCGCCATTTATTCGCGTAGGAAGATCGGTACTCTTCGTCTTCCCTCTTCTCTTGCGCGCGTGTTTAACGCCTCCACGTTTATCTCCAACATGATCGAATATATATATTTGCTTTTCTGTTAAGCGCGAGAAAATATTCAATCAAATGTAAGAAATGATATTTGCAAGTGTTATAAGAGCGATGTCTATACTGAATAATCACAACGACTCGTTAGTCGAGTTTACCCAAAACCGGAGACGTATACCGTTAAAAAACCGGCTAGGGACGCTGAAGAATTTCAACCAAATGCTCTTATATCTCCTCAAATTGACAGATGTTAAGATAATTAAATAACCCAATAGATACTAAAATAATTAAGTATAGGGAAATAAATTATGATTTGTATTGAGAAAATTGTTACTAAAATTATTTGCGATAAAATTTGTGTAAAAAAATAAGACGCTGCCTATAACAGATGTAAAATTGTCTAGCAGGATGACTCTCATTTAGGAGATCCGCGTGCAGGAATGCTCGGCGAGAGATTGACCTCTCGGTGTCGCCGGCGACGTTGACGGTCATCTCGCGCGCGAGCGCGCGCGCGGAAACAAACGAGAGACAGCTGCCCCGTTCACAGGAACAGAGCGGCGACGAACCCTCCCGGTTTGGTCGGCCCCGTCTCTTTCACCCGTCGCGCGGATGCGTCGCTATTCAGCACACGGTGTGTTAGGAGAGCGCGCGGGGCGCAAGGGCGCATCGACACCCGGCGACGCGACGCACCGCGCCGCGCGCGCTTCGCGTCGCACATGTGTGGCTCTTTAATACGCCGGTCTCATAAATACGCCGAAATTCGACGCAGTCAGGAAAGCTGTGCGAAACGCGCGCGTGCACGCCCGGAATGTCGCACATCCCATAGATGTCCAGCGTCCCGCGTTCTGGTCATTCTTGAAGAAAGTCGTGGGAGAACGCGAACGGTCTCCTCCGCGCGAATTATCTCTCGTCGTTCGGGTGTATCTGACGAGTTTAATCTGGAGAAACAGTCCTCCAGTTTTTATTTTGCGCAAACGATCACGTGGAATGCTTTTTTTTACACCCCCCCCCCCGCCCCAATTAAAAGCTATTGTCAACTGGATACGTATATTGTGTATTGATTCCACAATTTATTTAATATTTTCTGAAAAATAAATATATATGAATAATCAGTAAAGAAAACTGTGACCGAGCTTGATTTTCTCGCTGCTGGAGTATTATGGAAAATCGTCCCAAGGGATTGCTTCCGAGTTAATAAATCTATAAAATACGAGATTTAGTGAAGATAGGAAATGAAAGCTGCATACATAGCGTCATAATGTAGCAACATTGACATTAGTATTTCTATTTTTGGTATATATGTTTATGTTCCGCTATAATGTCCGACCAATGCCATGTAATATTTACATACTTGTCATTGATTTACTCTAATGTTGGAATCTTCCTGCTAATGTAATGTACAGCCTTCGATGTCCGTAACTTGGAAAGGGTTACATATTTGCGGTCTCATACATCGTATGGCATTCCTCTCGTCGCTACGATTAGTACCCAGAATACGCTGGTAAAGTTCAGCTTCCCCCTTTTGTTTTCGCCATGTAGAGGGATCCGTTTTCGTGTTTCATGAATAAATCTTAATTTTTTTTTTAATGTTGCATGAAAATGTTGCTCACTGAGAGCCTCGAACGCTATAATCTTCCGTACTGGCTTCGTACCGTGGCCGGCGCGGAGTCCCGTTTCGGTTCTTTGACCGAACTTCACCGCCATAATAAACCTCGGCGATTTGCGGACGCGTTAGACATTAATGCCTTCACGAAATTACGGGGTTACCGCTCACGTGCGTACGTGTACCCTCGCCCATAGCTTGGGTTAGAGATAATTAAATTCGGACTCGCAAGCAAACCGTATACAGAAGGCAGATCGAGAATTGTGGTAAGAGGGAGAAAGAGAGAGGAGAGATTGCACGTGAAAAAAAAATAAAGTAAAATGATAGTTATTTTTCAACAATAGTTTTATGTATAGTTTCAAATAAGAAGGTATTAGTTAATACTCTATATTAATTTGTTATACTTTTTTACATGTATTTGACATACCTATATCATCACAAGCATTTAATTAATAGTTTAACAGTTCATAAAAAGATAGTAATTATATTTATTTATTTTTACTATGCATTGTAAGTATTATTCATACTTTCTAATTTCTAAAAAACGAGCGTTCAACAATTGCACAGGGTTGTGCAATCATTTTTCAAAAAGAAATCCGGAGTATGCAGAATTCGAGAAAAGCGTTGGCTCTCGAAATTCCCCAAAAAATAATAGATGACGCAAAAAGCGCGTCTGCACAATACCAGACATTCGTCCGTTATCCGTGAAGTCCTCGAGATTCATCTTTTTGCCGAGCAAGGGTGGCCGGACCGCTGCTGGCGGTTCTCAGCTGTGTAGCTTGGGCTGGACCGCCACGGTCCGGGGCATTCTTCTTTTTATCCGAATTGAGAACCCGGAAGGCAGCGACGGCGCGCCCGCCGTGTTCTCCGTCGAGGAAAACCTGTCCGTGTCACGTAGCGACCTGCATCCAATCCACCGAGGTATCAGCACGACCGTGTACCTGTGCGCGATACCCGCGGCGTCGCTGCTTCCTTCTCTACGTTGCAATGTCTTCTCTCTCTCTCTGTCTCTCTTCTCATCGTTTCTTCTCGGAATCAGCCGCGCCGCGGAGAATGCCGCCCGCCCGGACCGCGCTTCGTTCTCGCGGTTGCATACATACATCGCGCAGGAAGTTCTTTCTTCCAGATTCTGCATATTCTTTCAACTTCGACACATATGCCGCTCTCAATTTCCAAGCGGGTTCTCGGCTTCGGGACGAGTCACGCGACGTCGTCTCTTCTTCACGATGTCTCTCTCTCTCTCTCTCTCTCTCTCTCTCTCTCTCTCTCTGCCTCTCTCTTTATCCCTGCCTTTTTCAGCTTCCGATATTTTTTCCGATCACATTAGCGCACGAATTTTTTTTCCTAGGTATTTAAAAGAAATTAATACACAAGCGAGCATATCTTTGACAAAAACTGTTGCTCTTTAGTTTTCAATTCAATAAACAGGAATTTTTCTCCTACGATTCGAAGTTTATAATTGTGTTGTTTTTGCTGATAAATTGTAAACTGTTTAAGTATAAGAAAAAAGCGTAAGAGAAAATGTATAGCTTCTCTTAGAAAGCAAGTCTTTCTATTATATTAATTTTTCCATATGTTTGTCTTAACGTCTTGAGAAGAAAAGAAATTTGGACTCATCAAGAGTCCAGCGCGTTTTTCATCCTTGATATTCGAAGCGTGATCCGTTAGAAGGATCCGTAATGATTTTGCGCCATCGATTCGTAATTCCTTTGCCGTGGTTCGTCAAGGAATCGATCGGTTCCCAGAACACGACGGCATGATATCGCCGAGACCTTGCGGCTTATTCCGCAACCCTTCCTCTCATTTCCTCGTCTTTCTCACGTTCTTCTTCCTCGTCAGCGTCGCCACACAATCTCCTTCTTCTCTTCTCTTTCCTCTTTTTTTCTTCTCATCTTCTCTTCACTTCTTTCTCTTATTTTTCTCGCTGTACCTCCTCGTGAGTTAACCAACCTAAAGTTCCATTTACATTGCAGTAAGTTACATAAAAATTTAGCAACCTCCGGCATTTTAGTAACGAATCAGGACCGCGTTTGGCTACTTCTATCGTTTCGCATCACGTTATTTTATATTATGGGAGAATAAATATTGATTTCAAAATCGACATGATGTTAAGTGCAGATTGTGATTAACATTAGAAAAAATTAACATTTGTAGAAAACTAATCGCACTTGATACCATAAAATTATTTCTTTTTATGCTACACGGAAAGAACGGAATTATTTTTATGGTCCAACAAAATTATTATCAGATCTGTATCCAGCAAAATTATTCTTTCCGTGTATCGATACCTATAACTTTTTTATTATATTTGCCCTGGCTCCACGGCCTTCGGTTCTGTAACTTTCACGTCGAGACGCTCGTGGAGCAGCGTAGGTGTATCCCAAGCTTAAAACGTAGACCCAACGTGAGTTCCAAGGTATGCGCCGCTATTAAAGTACATTCCCACAAACAAAGCGCTCCTTTTGTTTGAAGCCTGAGCGCGTTCAATTCCTCCAGAGAGGCTGCTGAGAGTGCTTGCCGAGAGAAAAATCACACTAGGCGCAAAATAAATTTACCGTATATAAACGTAGACTTTTTTCTCGATATATTAAAGTATTAAAAAAAAACCCTTTTTAAGCTCAAAGGTAATTCGAAGTGGCGGCGACTTTCGACGTTACATCGATCGCAAGAGAGACTTTTAACGTCATCATGCAAGTGGAGTTATGCATATAGCACGCCCTTTCCGTAAATTATGGAAAATTCATTTAATCCCTTCACGATTTAATTCTAAAGAAATGACATTTTAAGACAGAATAATTTTATCTTCAATTATCGTGCTTTTTTTATGAATTAGAGCGATTTCGAAATCGAGTCTGACGACGTCGGCGTGGCGGGAGCCTGAATGGGAGATCTCTCAACGCGCTTTCCACGCGGGTCGGCCCTTTCCTCCGACTATTGCGTCGATTGTTATTCCACACAAGCATTAGGTCGTAGCGTTGCGTCGTATATCGCCGCCTCTTCCCGGTCGATCGTCTCTGGCCGATTCCATCGCGTATATACGTTCTGTGATGCACGTGCGTATACGTGTAAGTTCGTGTATAGGGACACGACGGCGCCTTCGCTTCCACCTCTCATCCTTCGAAAGCTTCAAGTCGAGATGCCGGTTCCCTCGTGCGCATTTCTCTCTCTCTCTCTCTCTGTCTCACTCCTCTTCCTGTCCCTCTTCTCTTTCTTCTCATCTCTTTCTCTCTCTCTAAGGTCGACCCTTTCCCCGCCATGGATTCCAGCGTCAGACCTGCCGCTTGCTATTGCTGCTGCTGCTGCTGTTGCCGTCGTCGTCGCGCCATCGAGAGTCCCTCGTACATAGCGATTGCCAGTCTGAACTCGACCGCCGTTCAGAGTGGATCGTTCAGCGCGACACTTCCCACGAATCGCCGAGTGCTGGCCGGGTATAAGCGTGGGTACCCTCCGGGCAGTGGAAGTGTTTTGGCGCGCGGCGGAGCATTCCTCTTCCCCGTTTATCCGAAGTGCTCGGCGTCGCGTCGCGTCCCGCTCTTACCCTCGCGATCTTACGGATATCGACGGATATTTTGTCTAATTGGGAAAACTGAGATATTCTGAGAAAGCGCGCGCGAGAGGAACAACAGGAAGTAGAAACGAGAAGGAAGAAGTGAAGGGGAGGGATGCGCGTGGCGTTCCGACGCTCGTAGAAATTTCTCTTTCGCGAAGGAAGGCAAGCGCGTAAACATGACCGCGTGAGGGTAGAGTCCTCCTCCGAGGATAAAATTCTCTCTGGAGACGGAGACGCGCAGAGGGGACCGCAATGGATCGCGCCGTTACCGCGTGCAGCAGGCGGTAGTGCTTGTAAAGCCGGGGGGTGCAGCTCGGAGCATCTACGCGGGAGACCGGAGAGAGGATCCTATACTTATCGCCGAACCCGCGCTTTCTCCCACGGCTCTCCCCCGTCTCTCCCCGTCGTTCCCCCCGTCTCGTAGACCACCCGCGAAAAATCGTGCGCCGCTTATGATGGATGTATTTTCGAATGGATTGCTCGTGCCGAATGGATTGCCGATCAACAACGTGGAGATAGCGACTTACCACGCGTCCTTTTGCTCACCACCGATCACAGAAGCGTAAGTAATCGGCACGAGATCCACGCACGTGTTAATTTATCCGCTCATTTCCTGTCGCAATATCTGTGGATTTATTGACCTATGAATCGACCAATAAATATATTTATCTCTAATGGATCTTGCCGAGCTTGTGTCGCAAATGGGGGAAACGGTGAAGGGATGTTTAATTGGAAATTTATTATGGCAGGAATAGTAGAGACGAGTGAGTGGCAGAATATTTAATATTTTAATGTCTGGTATAGGTTCGTATTTTTCTAAAATCTCATGTTCACGAAATCCTATAGAAATCGCTCCAAGATCTCGAATGGAAAAAAAATCACGTTGGAAGTGTTTGAACCAATGTGATTGGTCAATTCTTTTTTCGTTTGAGACCTCGGGATGATTTATAACCTCGAAGAAACAAAGCTTAAAACTGCTATGACTTGGATATAAGTTAAATATCTAAAACTTTTAAACATTTTTGAATTGAATTTTTATTCTTTTTCTTCAGGGAGAGATCTTCAATTATTCTATACATACGATTCTATTTATTTTTTGTTTCTCTTATATATATCGAGGTGAATTCAAGATATCAGCTTATAAAAATTAAATATTATAGACCGTTGATTATGATCTTGTCTTTCAAATTATTTTCCTAGCCTACTTGAGATGAAAAAAATTGATTATTTTTCACTATACTTTAACTGACGTTATTTTTTTATATCTATCTTTATTTTTTTAATACGATACCTCTGTATAAATCGCTTCTGACACTTTCAAGTTTCGTTTTCTCAATTCGACGCTATAATACGAATACGCGCCAGATACAAGCAGTATAGGCTCGGTATTCGATGTTTCGACATTCTTTCATAAGCATATGTATCGTCGTGAAAAAAATGAAGCGACGGATATTACGACATCAAAGTGGACCAAATAGTCAATCATTAGAGAAAACTGTCATAGGCGATATCGCGTATGAATGTAAGGGTGAACGGAATATGCGCAGCATTCCGACAACGGAAGTGTAACGCAATAATATCAAAGGATACGGCGTTATCACAAAGGAGATTATGTGAAGTTGGTCTAGGCGTCGGGGACTTGTTATTCTTATTAGCTCGGCATGAATCTTCAAGTGTTGTTGCTGGTATTTACTAGGAAATTCTTGACATTAGAATTGAGATAAAATTCTTAGAAAAAAATATATAAAGGAACGAGACACGATGTTTCATATCTCGTGAGCATATATCTTTTCATCTGTTGTATTTTTATTTTCTTCGGTTATTTCGATTATCTTCAGTGCTTACTAATTGAATTTATAAATTTATTAATAGATTAATATTGATTTATATTGATTTTACGCTCGAGGTGATAGCCGATTTTCAAATTCTTTTAATTTTTGTAGAGCTGTTTATTCAAATTTTTTTACAAGTAAATATTATATGCGTTATAATTCTACTTTTAATAACTTTATAATATTTCAAAATTAAATATTAAAAACTTTATTTTTTGAATTATTAAACATTAAAAAGATTATTAAAATTACGATCAATAATTATATACGATATAATTTCAATAACTAAACAATAATCTATAACATTTAAAAATAATTTATTGTACTTTGTTAAATTTATTATACTTTGTTAAATTGGTAAATCAAAAAGGCGAGAGACTTTAGTAAAATATTTTCAAAAATAATATATTCTCTCACAAAATTTGTATATTTATAAGAATACAAATAACATCTTTGAAATATCTCGCTAAATAACCACATAAAAATAATAAGTATCTTATGAATATGTAATGATAACATATTATAAGAGCGGCAATCAAATATTTTTTCGAATAGAAATTCTTTAATCAATTCGATTAATTTATTTCTTAGTGAATTTTTTTGTGGTAAGAGAGTTGAGAGAGGTTATTATTTGCTGTAGCTTCTCGATTGTCGAGGTTATACATGTACATGATGTAATCTTAAAAACTTTTTCTTTTAAAGCGCACTTTAAATTATAAAGAACGATTTCGTTATTTACTTGTGTCCCCCAAAAAAATCTGTTATATTCAGCCGCCGATTGTTCGAAAATTACTGCGGAGCAGAGCTTTTCCTTATGCTCGTGGCAAAGTTGATAAGGATAAAACAGATATTTTGTTAGTACGAAAAATTTGCATTCGGATAAATACATTATGTTGGACGTTACAATAAAATTTTTTTATTATACCTTAGATATTTCAAGAATTTCTTTTTAAAAGACATCGATCGTTTTTCATGCAATTATGTTGCATGTCTCTATGTCATGTGTTTTATCGTTAAATTATTTTTTCTTTCTACGAAAATGGAAAACTTCTTACGTAGCATATGTCGGAAGTTTCGTTTCCTTATTGTATTTTCTCACGTGCTATAATCAACTTGAACTAATTATAAATTATTGTTGCTTTAAAGACGTATTGTTAGCGCTATTTCTACGGGCGTGTAAAAATGAAAAAAAATATGAAGGAATTTTTCGAAGAAACTTCAGTGTTGTAAATGTGTTTTCTTTGAAAATTCGTCGGGTTTGCTAGGTACAAAAGTAATTACCATTTTTAGTGCACCTAACCATTGCAACCAACTGCAATTTCCATTGAAATGCCATCGGGTCTAGTATGCAGGGACAGAAAAAAAAAGAGGAAACCTAATGCAAAGTAATACCTTGCGAGAAAGATATTTCGAGTAGATTCGTTCATCACTGTATCCGGTCTCCAGATGGGGTAAAGGGAAGGAAAAAAGCTTTAGGAGCGTCCAAGCATGGACGGTAGACAAGAAAGCCGGGGTAACTCTCCGCGGTTGCTCTCGTAGCGTGGTGGCATATCCAAAAAGGTATACATCTATCGCGTGCTTTTCAAAACGCTATTCTCATTGAACGTTCGAAGTCTAAAAGAAACGGTGAGACGACTATTCGTCTTTTTCCGGCCGGTCGTCCTCGCAGGTTTACAGTCTCGACAAGACAAAAGGGGAGCGGGAGAGACAGGGATGGGGGGGCTAGGTTGACTAAGGAGATTTAAACCCGGTTCAGGTCAATTCTGCGCTGGGAATTTGTGCATCGTTTATTTTGTACCTCTTCTTTCTCTCTCTTTGGGTCCGACCCTGGGTCTGGTTCCTTTCGTCCTTTCGTCAAGAAGATTCCTTGCCAAAAATATCAATCACGTTCGTTTTGATTAGATGGCATTTAGCGATGCTACGATATCCACTTTTTTGCAATTTATTTTTTCTTTTAAAGCTATTGGAACATTTTCTGAAGCTATTGTTTATAAATCCAACATGAAAAGAATACTTTGTACTCTGCGCGTCATCTGGATCTCTCGTCGAATTCAGATCTAATATAAGAGTAGTACTCTTTATATAAATTATATACTTATTGTTAGAATTTTTAAATTGAAAATTATTTATCTGTTTAAAAATATTTTTTATTTATTTTACATGTTTCCCATTTATGTATCCATGCACTGTTTTGCTTGCTTTTATATTCGTTTTTATTTTATTGAATTTCTTAAGAAAAAGCAAGGACAGGATAAACTAGTAGTGAAAGTTTCTTTCCAAATAAGTATAAGAAAGCTTTTAAATTGTTTGGACCTGTGGCTAGCGACTTCTTTCTATTTGATTATCGAATGTTTTGCTGGTTAAAAGTTTGAAAAATTAAAGGGAACAATAAATTAGGAAAAGTACAAAAATTTTACTTGATGGCGACAAGGTTGCCGAGCTTTTTTTAGGCGCTTATCCATGATTTCACACTTGACTGGAGATCTTGGAAATCTCATTGAGTTTGTTTGCCGAGCACCATGGGAAAGTCACGTATGAGCATAACTACTATAAATTCTACGATATTAATGGATAGAAGGAAGAATGTTAGCTCTACGTAAATACGTAGAAATATATGAATGGTTGTCCGGAGAAGAAACGTGCGAGATCTGAAATCTTTCGTTTCCGTGATTGATTTCCACGTTGTATGTGTCGAAGTTATTGGCAGAAATGTATGTGTGCGTGTGTAAATGTATATATGTGTATTTAGTCATTTGATGCTTATGATAATAGTACAAGTCTCTCTCTTTCTCGAAGTAAATTCGCTCAATTTGCGATAGACTTAGTTTATAATCGGAGTATATATTTAGAAAATTTAAAGTTTCTTCAAAATCTTATGCAATTTTCATTTTGAGTTACGAATTTTTTTATTTCCTTTAAATTGATTTTCCTTTAAACTGAGAAATGTACGTTTATAAAATTATATTACTAGTTCTTTTATAATTAATTAATTCTAATTAATCTTTACCTATCTTTGATGACTATTATCATGAAAAGATGTTTCATGATATCTATATCGATATTATTTGACACATTTTTGCAATCTAATATCATCGAAGATGATAAGTAAAGAGAAACTTTTCTTCTCTCTTTTAGTATTATAAAACTTCATAAAGCTACCGAATTCTCATTAGCCATACATTATTGCGCGCCCTGGGATTTCTATACATAAATAGATCGTGTATTGTACTTGCGTCGCGTGTGGTCTCGCCAGAGAGAGAAAGAAAGGAAGAAAGAAAGAGAGAGAGACAGCAATCTTTCAGCTCGTTCTCGGGGGTTCACGAATGTCGGTGAGATTTGTGAGTTCGCGTCGCAGTCATTAGAATTGAAGTCAACGTGCAAAGGGACATGCCTTCAATGGAAAATACCCAGGCGCGTTGTGATCTCGGGCATGCGATTAAATTTCTCGAGTTCTACAATCGAATTTAAAACTGAATCGCGCCGACGCGACGTCTGGACAGCTGCCAGTCGTTGCCCTAAAATTCCGCCGAATTGGACCGTGTGGGGCGCGACCAGAGAGAAAAAAGCCACCCCAAAACGTCAAATAACAAATTTCGAAGGGGGTTGCCGACGAGATTCGCGACCGGGCCCCTTGAGAAGACTTCTTTTAAGATGGGATGGACCCGCGGCCCTCCGACTGCTCTCGCAGCCCGTTCTTCTTTCCTTTTCATTATGTTTCGATATCGATTTA